AGAGAGAGAGAGAGAGAGAGAGAGAGAGAGAGAGAGAGAGAGAGAGATAACAGTATACTTTACCATCCCCGGGGATGATCCGGAGGGTCACTGTGTTGCCCGCTTCTTTGATTAGGTTGACAATGTCAGAATGGGATTTGTTGGTGATGGAACATCCATTTACTGCCAAGATCCGGTCTCCTACTTTCAGCTTGCCACAGCGGTCAGCAGGGCTCCCCTCAATAATCCGACCTATTTTGTGAGGCATAGCCACACATGCATTGCCTGCTTTGGTAGTGCATTTTAATTTTTTTTAAAGTTATGTGGGAATATAGTGAAGGGAGGAGAAAAGGGTTGAAAAGGGAAAGAGAAGGTTAAGTGTTAATTAATTAAAGCATTAAGCAAATGTTATTAGAGGAGAGCGCTGTGCTGACGGTCAAAACATTGGCAATACTCAGGGTGTTTAAAAAGTCACAGCCCTGGGACTAGAGTTTAAGGTCATAGTCCCTTTCTGATTTAAAATGATGACAAAACCCCAGCTTCTCTCCTTAAAACAATTAGAATTTGGGACATTTGGTAACTTGAGTCTCGAGACCTGCAAATGACTTGGTGGCCCCCAGAGCCGGTCTGTGTCACTGCCACTTCACTTTGCCAATTGTTATTAAAGTGTCTGCCAATGTTTTGTTCTTTCTCCATTTACAAAACTAATCACTGGACTTCTGGTGAGATTCAAGAGTTCGCTAGCATTTAAAGTTCAATCTGAAAACACAAAGTAGACTGACACCTTTGCTCTTGACGTGAGAAGGTGAAGGCTTTGGAAAAGGGCATAATCGTAGGAGGGGCGCCCGGAAAGCACCAGCGCCGGACACACACTGATCCATGTGGGACCTTTCTTCAATCAGCCCAGGTAGGGAGCTCTCAGGGAGGCCCTGGTGGGCTCATTAGTTCTGATCCTCTGCCTGCCTCACACACAAACTCCCTTAAAGGGATACAGTGAAAATCTAGCACCTATGTATGCTTGGCATAGCAAGCCAAAGCTAGCCTCGAGCCATTTCCCAGCCCTCCCCTTTTAATCACCCCCTTTCTACTCATCGGCTTACACACATGCATAGACGACATGAAACCGGGGAAAGAGATCCGCAGGAATGTCTATTGTGCGCCTAAGGCACTCTATTGGGGAGCTGTCTTTGAGGAGCGCTCCAGGATAACCAGGTATTTGATAGTGAGTTACAATGTTTTCATGCAGACTTTTGGAATTTGCTTTTTTTTTTTTTTTTTTTTTTAGAACCATCAAAACAGATTCATGGCTGAGTCACAGTTTGGAAATAGTGACAAAATTAATAGGGGAGACTATGAAGTCAACTGTGCAGGTTCTTTCATTATAATTTCTTTCTTTATTTCCTTTTTTTTTTTCTTTTTTTTGGTTTTTCGAGACAGGCTTCTTCTGTGAGACAACCCTAGCTGTCCTGGAACTAGCTCTGTAGACCAGAGAGATCCGTCTGTCTCTACCTCCGAGTGCTGGGATTAAAGGCACGTGCCATCACCATCCGTCTACTTCATTATAATTTCTACTTGAAGGGAAAACTATCTGAAAAACACACTGATTCCCTTGAATTTGAATGGAGGAGTTGACTGAGTCCGTGTCACTCAGTAGAACGCCAAATTCAGTTCAAAGAATTTTAAGAAGCAAGTGAGCTGTCCATGAATCTCGGAAGGGGGTGAGTGTATCACACTGCAGGTCCCGAGTAAGCACAGTTCAGCTCCAAGGACAACTCGCAGGACAAAGGTCTCAGCGGGCGTGAAGAAAGGCTCTGCATAGCTCAGCAGTCTCGTGCAAGGTGTTAGGGAAAGGCGAACTTGTTGATTGTAAGAACCAAGGGGGAATAATGGAAGCGCAAACTGAGTGAAAGCATTCAGTACACTCATCGTCCAGCACAGAGCCTGCCCCTGGCATACCTGCTTTTTCGTTCTGGAGACTGAAAATGAGAACTACGATAAAGCTGAGAGTGTCAGGGGGTACACTGTAGATTGGGGAGACGGCAAGAACTTGGGCTTGCTTTTCCCTGTTTTGTTGTTACTCTTAAAGTCAGTAGAACAGCCTTTGAAAATAATTTAAAAGCAAAGCAAAATGAAACAAAACCTGGTGCCTTGATGTCAAGTCACATACTGTGACTCGCTGCATGGTTAGTAAGGGTGGCTGTTACTACGGTCACACATGTACAGAACAGGCCGACTGTCCAGCAAGAAGCAACTCATTAAGACGAACTGGAGACAGTGTGGGCTCTACCAGATCAGAATGCTAGAGAGATGCAGCCCCTTGTTAACTTCGGCCAGTGAGTGACCTAGACCGTTGGTCATGAGGTCCTATGGGGTCCTATGAGGTCATTTGAAGCCTGTAGAATAAGTGCTGCCTGTCTCCCATCACCTTCCAATGTGTTGGGAGATGACAAGGGACTGAATCAGGAAGGAGGGTGCACATCCTTTGCAACAGGAAAGAAACTCATAGACTCAACTGGGCTTCTATTTGCCTTTATGTATGCACCCAGGAGAGAGTTAGTATTTGGAGAAGGTTACAGAACATTATCCATATTTGACGGAAATCTAAGACCTGGAGAAGACCCCAAATCAAACTTAGAAACTTAACTTAGTTTCTAAAGCAACAATAAATATCATTTAAACCTTCAACAGCATTCAGGCAGGGTAGACACAGGATGTACATGAGGTAGGGAGTTTCACAGGTCATTTTTACTTCTTACATCTCTACTTTTCCTAGACATTCTTACGAACATCTGCTGCTTTTACAATCCTCACAACTGAGGCCACTGCTATTAATGATATCCACTACTCATGAGCTCTCAGAAGTCTTTCTCTGGCAAAAAAAAATGGACACACCGCTACACCACCAAGGGGCTGCTATTGAAACCTGACATACATCTTATGTGTATTTGAAGTTGTGCATGACCACACATTTAGAAAGCTAAAAGGGATTTGCAGGAGGACCCAACAAACATACCAAATAAACTCCGTCTCCAATTAAGACTTTAATTATCGGAAGTGAAAAACCATTAAGGCATTTCTGTTGGGAGCTAAGCCTAGTTCCTCAGTAAGAGTAGCAAGCGTCCTTAACTGCTGAACCCTCCTGATAGAAGAAAGCCTAGCCTGCTCCTTCTGGCACTCACCAAAGGTCGTGCCCGCTTCAGGCCTGCTCACGGAGGACACGATGACGAACCCAAAGCCCTCATTCTCCCCACGTCGAATCTCCACATCATAGGGCTGGAGCACAGCGCTCACCACGCCGCTGCCCCCACCGCCACCACTGCCGATGCCACTGGTGCTGCCGCTGCCAGAGCTCACAGTGTTGAGCGAGTTCTGGCTGCCCTGGGGTGTGCGCTTCTCTTCCGTCAGGGAGGCGGGCTGGTTGCTACTGTGGTGCGATGAAGCTGGCGATGGCACCTCATTCTCTGCTTTGGGGACTGCAAGAGAGACGTGTGTCTAGACCATTTAAAAATCCCCGGAAAATGAGCACAGCCACCACTTCCACCTTCCCCACCTGTAAGGAAACCAAGATGCTAACGAGGGCATCTTGTCTCAGAGAACTTAACGCAGGCATGGAAAAGCAGCCTTGCTGTGGAAACATTAATAATCTCCAGGAAGGTTGACTGTACATTGACCCCTCCCCCCACCAAGAGGCCTCCTAGAAAGCATGGAATAGACAGTACAATGATCCTACCCACAATGCCATTCTATCTCCAGCAACATCCAGTTAGGAGCTTTCTCCTATGTAGGAGGAAACCGTGAGCAGACTGTTGTTTGGGCTGTACCAGTGGAGGGCGCCACCCTAGCTTCTAGGCTCATTCACTCATAGACATTCCCTCCTAGTGACACTTCTGTTTAGCGTTTACTTTCTTATTGGGTAGGAGACTGCTGGGGGTTGTACCTTTAAGGCTCGCATACATGGACGCATGAGAACCTTGTGGTAGGTACACAGAGTTGCTCTCTCCAGCTCCCAGCTGTAAATATCTATTCCAATCACAGAGCTTTCTCCCAACCTTAGACATCCTCCCAGTCTTACTGCCTTGTCAGCCAACAGGGCAAAGCATTCTTAAATAGTCCACACCTTAGGTGAAACCGGGCATACCAAAATCATTGGGTACTATGTTGCTTTGTGGCTATGATTATATTTATTCCACAAAGCTTTTACTTTTGTAGATGTTTTTAATTATGGGAAACACAAATTTAATGATTGAGTAGTTTTTACATGTAACTGGGGGCACAGACGTATTCACAGTTATGTAAATGTCACCACCATTGTCTCTACAACTTCGCCAACTTCCCCAAGTCAGAGTTTTACCATGGGGTAACAACTCTTTATTTGCCCCTCTTACCAGCACTTCCCAGCACCCATTCTGCTTGCTGTCTGCCTACGTAATTCCCCTTAATATAACGTCTGCATAGGACTAACTTGCTGAATATTCCAAACACTTTAGTCTTTCAAATAAAGCTGAAACAACGAAGTGAAATTCCATCGCCTTACTGCTTTAATTTAAGACAGGGAAATCAAATAGTTTTCAACTCATCTCAAAACCCACACCGAACCAGCTGACTGCCACTGGCTGCACGGAATACTATGCTAAGAATTTGGGGGGATCAGGAATGGGTTCTAAAGACATAATCTGTTGTGGGGTAGGATTGTTTTCAATGGCTACCATCAGATTCTCAACACTGGAATTTAATAACTTCATTCTGTACTTAATGATATATCACTTAAAATAAGCTAATTTTTTAAAGTGCCAATTAATTTTATCTGGTAGCTATTTGCCACACTAATATTAAGGCTACAGAGAATTCATAGGCTTCCACATCATACTTCTTCAGTAATTCAGCTGACATAACATTAATCTTCTGGATTCTGCTGCACAGGCTTTGAATGAAGGCTGCATGCAAAGGTAAACAATGAAGACATACACTTTCAGGAAAGAACAGACATGTAACGGCTTTCTTAAAGGGGCAGAGTCAGATATGGAAATACACTCTGAGCCCACAGGCATGGCAGAAGGGGGTGCTAAAACCTGAAAGCATTTGGAAGAGCATTCTTCTTATGCGGAGCCTGAAAAGGTATTCTGAGAACTTCAAAGGAACCAGAGATGACTTGGAACTGGCCAGCTCTTCAGTTTTCTCAGTGAAGCCACAGCAAGGCACGGTGTCGGGAAGAGCTCATTCTACAGTCTAAACCTGACTTCTGTTCTCTCAATCTGGAGCTGACCTTTTCCCACGCTCCTGATGGGCTCTTGGGGTGAGGATTATCATCCAATGAAGAGGAAGGCTAAGCTCTGGTTGGTGAGGGGCAAGAGGCAGGGGACGCACATTCAACCAGCATTTTTTCTGGAAGTCTTTTTGGAGCATATGCAAATAGCATATTAAAGTACTTTTGAATGACAGCACTTTTGCAGAGCTGGAGAGAAGCAAACCATCTGGAAATTCTGAGCTTGATCACATTTGCAAACATTTGCTAAAATAGAAGCTTGAGGAGGCAGTCATGAGAGCGGCGGAGCATGGGCTGAAGGAATGAATGAAGAACTTACCAGCAAACACCACTTTCCGCCTCACTGTGAGGTTGACATGGCCTTGCTTGGCAGCTTGTTGCATAAGCTGGACCACGAGCTGGTGTGATTTTCCAATTACTGGTGTCCCATCCACACAGATTAATTCATCTCCAGACCTCAGGCGGCCGTCTGTGTCAGCAGCACCCAGTGGTACGATGTGACCGATATAAATCTGTCGGGTAATTAGATGATGGATGAAACATTGTCCTGTTGGTTTTACTATCAAGACTGATGGCCCATACATCTCTAGAAATAATTCAATTCATTCATTCATATATGCACGCATGCCACAAACAATTATTGGGTACCCCATGTATAATGCATTGTGCCAGGTACTGTAGCAGTCTTTAGGAAACAGAAAGAATACCTTTCTTATATGCCTCTTTGACATGGATATTACCTGTGGTCTGTCAATCATTCAATTTTTTTTCTTCTTCTACTCTGGAGAAACGGGTACTTTCCCGTCTACACGAGAATCCTACTTTCATTAGACCCTGCTAAGTATATCAATCCTTATTTTCTTTAAGGGTCTAGTACTATCTGTTTAGCAATAGCACATCTCACTAAACATAGAGTGAGGGGAGAATAATTCCCATTTCCAGTGTCTTTTAGCACTAGAAGGCTGTCTTGCTGCTTTGCCATTCACCAATCTGAGTTTAAATACTGGTGTGTGCTGTCTTCTCAGCAGACAATGATATCGTTTTCTTTATATGGCATGTAGTATTTACAAGGGTGTGAACAAAAACTGGCTAAAAAGAAGGAGTTGGGCCTTGTCCGTCCTGGCAGTTACACCAGCTCTGTGGCCTTGGGCCAGTTCGTTAACCTTTCTGGAGCTTTTATTTTCTGGTTTGAAAAGTAGAGATACAGTCTGGATAAAAAAAGAGAGTATATGTTAAAAAGTTTTAGTATCACACACAGTAACTGCTCACTGAATAATAGGTGTTATTCCAAAGGCATCAACACTTCGCTTCTATTTTCCTTCCAAAAGATCCCGTGATATCAAATTCAACTGACTCAAGAAACAGAGGCTCAGGAAGGAGATTCCGTGTTTCTTGATCACTCTTTAAGGTTCTTTTTCTATTATTTAAAGATAGGGTGCTGTTTTCTTGAACCCCTACTGCTACTTAAGGAAGCTCCCTCTGTGCTCTAGATACTTATATACAGACCCCTATACTTTCTACTCAAACACACACACACACACACACACACACACACACACACACACACACCCCTCTACCTGCTGCAGACACCACAGAATTGACCACAGAGGTGAGGACACTGGTTAGATGATGCCCATTCTGACTTCTGTTTTCCTTCTTCTTAATTGGGGGTGGGGACAGCTGTTGCAGCCCTCTCCACAGCAGCTGTTGCAACCCCCACCACGCACAAAGGGTTTAGAAAACATTCCTTCCCTTCTTCTTTAAGACAAATAACAAAGAAACAAATGCAGCTCCACAAAAGACAGTAGGACCATCCATATTACTCAAGATAAAAGAGCCAGGGCCACAGCTAGCAGAACTCTATCTTGGTGATCTGTCAATTGCCACTTTACTTTGAAGTCTTAGCAAATACCACTAGGGAGAGAAGCAGATAAAAGACTCACGGGTTCCCCTGGCTCATTTCCACCCAGAATCCTAAATCCAAATCCGGTCTCTTTTCTCCAGAGGAAGATGTCCTGTTCCTGGTAATCTGGAACTGCAGAGAAGGACAAGAGGAGAAAGATCATTTCACTAATAAAGGGGATCGTGTGTCTAAAGTGGGCACAATTACAGGACCACGATGGATGCACACATATGCACAGACAAAAGCTTCACGGCACAGGCAACTAAAGAAAAGGTCATGGGTAGGTGACACAGCAGACAATGGGCACACAGTAAGCAGTAGAAAAGGCGAGGGCTGCAGCTCTCCATGGACTACGACTGCCTGGTAATTCCCAATTTAGCTCACATCATTACGGACAGCTAAGCTAGGAGTCAGCCAGGGCCTCTCCCCTCAGCATCGCTGCAAGAGGAATCATATTGAGTCACTGTGTGCTGCACTACAAGGCCAGTGTCCAGAACAGAATCACGTGACCTGAAAGTCTCCCTGGAGGAGAGGTTGGCTCTATGGGAAGTTCCTTCAAATGACTTGTTCTTTTATTGCGAGGACAAGTATTATGGCTTTGGTTAAAAAGAATTTCTAATTTATTTTTAATCATTTTCTTCTTCCCTAACATAATCAAGATCAGTGACACCAGTAATGTGATGTGAGATTAGTTTTGTGAGGAAAAGAAACTCCTCTCAAGGGCTGTGGGATGCATGGCTCAGTGGAAACTGCTTATCCTTGTCCAGGCTTTGGGTTTGATCCCTGGCACCATCCCCAAACAAAGCAACCCTAGGACTTGTAAGTAGAGAGTTTAATCTGATTTTAGTATTATCATCACAGACTTGCCAGCCTCCTAGGGCCAAGAGAGGACAGAAACTTCTGAACAATTAACTGTATCTCATTGCTAAACTACAGCTTTCCCTTAATTTGCCTATGGTATCTGAACATGTAAGTATTCACTGATTATCCAATAACTTCTTATTTTATGTCTAACACTCAGCAATGGTCTAGTGCTTTAAAATGAAGCTCTTAGTAAATTCCAGAAGGAAATGCTTGTTGTGCATTAAGTCATTCTATATAACCGCACGGCTACCTCACTGAGATAATAAAAGGGTTGCTGTCCCTTTCTTCTTATTGAGTATTTTAATGCACACACAAGACGGTTTACAGTCTATAAAGTGATACAACTTTTACTTAAAGAGAACGCATATAATTCAGTTGCACTGAATCCTAAAGGAGGCATTAAATTACTGTTCCACTTTCTTTCTTGTTTCGTTAATTGTATTTTGGGCTGAAGGAGTATCTAGGCCTGAAAATTGAATTCCCATCTTCTCCAGTTTTAGGCGATAGAATAGGAAAGACAAAAATGATTGTTTAGATTTCATGTTGGGGATTATTGTTCCTTTTGAGTGATTTGCCTATAGCCTGAGATAAATAGTAAGTGAAGAATCCAAAGGAAACATAACGAATAAGTAAGTAAGTACAAGGCTAAGAATATATTTTTCCCAAGTTACTTTAAGGCTGGGGTTCTACCTGGATGTTTTTATACAACCCTTTGTATTAAAAATGCTGATGCTAACTTGTAAAATGCCAAGGAAGATGAACTCAGCTATATCATGGGACTCCTACAGAAACATTTGGAAATTAATGTTTCCTTGAACACATTCATATATAAATTCCTGTTCATTCATTCCTCTTTGAGTAGTTTGGCAAATGATACATGCTGCTAAGTGTCTCACTAAAATAACAAATTAAACCAGAGGATGCTCTTTCGGTTACACAGGGAAGGAAACTAGCACCCCAAAAGACTACTGGCGATTTTCAGCAGGTACACATGGGTGTCAACAGAGTCAATCTGATGTCTGCTGAGCACAAGAGCTTTCTAATAGCAATTAAAGGGCCTTTGCAAAGGCCTTCTGCCCAGATCCATTTTCTCTGCACCACATTAACACAGTATCATTTGTCCATTCTACAGGCACAAGAAAGTGTATCACATTCTGCCTTACGCTGCAGTGAGATGTGAGCTATCATGGCAGACTGAGGAGACCCAACAGATTTAGGTCAATCACCCAAGTCAAGTCACAGGAAAAAAGCTGTTCTTCCTTTCAAGAATTAACTGGAAAATGATAAGTTTATTTAAAGAGTCTTCTGTTGAAAAGAAAGGTGCCCTGTGACAATTGGGATAAAAATACACTAACAATGAGCCAGGAAACACAGACATAAACACCAACACAGACACGTGACAAAGAAAGTCTTCTGGTACTTTACTTTTAGCATAATAACAATTTTACCCTTTCACCAACTAAATGCAACTTTGGCTACTGAATTGGTATTGACATATACTATAGTAGTCATAATTCTATCTCCTGTGACATTACTTCTTCATAGAAGAAGTACTGAGATTTTGAAATTAGTTCCCCTAAATGTTTCACTCTCTACTTCCAGAAGAATTACATATTAGAGAGCAGCAAGGTGGGGCCATTTTTTTGACATTACTGTCAGAAGTCTTATTATTACTGTCACTTTAGTGAGGCCAGTCTTGTAGAAGTTATAACTTTAATCCAACTGTTTGCATCCTGAATCCTCACCTTGGGGACAATCGCTGCAGTTAATCTGCTTCTGGGATCGGCAGTGGCCACTTAACAAAGTAGCAGAATGACTTTCCTTGGTACTCAGTGAGAGTGGGGTCACCAGGCCCTGGCGTCTGCACAGCCACAGACAATACAATGTATCTACAGACTCCGGAAAGCACACACATCACTTCCTAATCTCATTTTGCGTTTGGTTTATGCTCAGCGAAAACAAGCCGGAGACACTCCTTCATGCACTTTTATCTCCCCTGACTTTTGTGGCCGTCTCCCCAGACAGATGGGAACATCAAACAGGATAAATGGTAATGGAGAAAACGAAAGTTTGCGGCAGATCCTTACTCTGACATTCTCCAAAATTCGTGGAATTGATTTCTCTGTCTCTTTCACCCTTGCTCAGTCCTGATGCAGGCGAAGGTGACATAGCTGGAATATCAATTTCACAATGGTGTAAAGCTTAATACATGCTCCTTCTTGGCTCGTTTTAATTTAGTCGTGAGTGATAAGGGGTGTGCGACTCAGCTTCACAGTAAAGGTCATGGCGGCTATGGATTCTAAAGGACTGGAGTTCGGTTCTGTTTTTCACTTTCTTTTTCCATAGTGCTTTACCTGTCAGAAAGCTAACTGAACACTGTTTCCCGTGACTTCCATTACCACCGTAGGCTCCTGATGTTTAATTAGACTCTAACCACATTCGTGAATGACCCTATTTCAGTCATGCCATGAACCATAGAAGGCTGGCTAAATCCTCATTGCCTTTTGAGAAAATCTAAATGTGTGTGTTAGCACCACACAACAGCACTTGTTCAGGGGAGTATCGGTGTCTGAGAGAAGCCATTCTTAGACTGAAGCATGCCCTGGTGAATTCTAGGCAGTTCAAACCAGAACAGTCTTATGCTTGCAATGCAATCACAGAATCTGTTGAATCTGAAGGAACACACAGATAGAAATTGTTATAATCATCCCCAAATCCCGGTGTCAGACTTGTAAACATGCCTCCCTAAAGGACAGGTTTATAGTGCTGGTTAAGATGACAGCTTTGACTGCTTTCTTTGCGAGCTGTAAAGCTGTAAACAGGTAAAAACTTCCTCTATAAGCTTTGGAGATTCCTTTGTAGTACAGGCTGCTGTGCACTAGGTGACCATGTGAACATCTGCTAAGACCAATCATGTCATTGTTAAAGACATGGATCCAACTGGCATTTTAGCTAGAGAAAATACAAAACAGGCAAGGCGGCTTATTTAAAGGATTTCTAGTCTTTAATTAACATTGAGATCCTTCAAAGGGATTCATTAACACTTCTGTAATTCAGATTAAATCATTTTAACCCTGCTGCTTTGGCAGAGAGCCAAGCAGAGAGGATGGTATTTTGTGAGACACCTAGAACATGTAAGGGAAAGTGACCAGCTGTGTGTCCATCTTTACATTGCCCGTGATAATGAAGTTCAATAAAAAGGAAAAGGTATTTTCAACATGAAGGGAATAATATACATAATTAATGTACTATGACTTACTTCAATTTCAGTATTTGCTTATTTCATTACCAAGGGATGGGGAGGGAATTCTATCCATCAAGACTCCTCCTCTTTTTTTTTAAAAAGAATGTTCTTAAAAGGACTTAGGGCAATGGGAGAAATGAATTTGGTTTAGGGCAATACAAACAGGGTAATACAAAATAACTTAGGGCAATGGGGGAAGTGAATTTGAGATGAAACAAAAATGGTGATTCAAAGACAAGATTGCTATAGGTTCACCAGTGGGTACCATGGGAAGAAGAGAACATGTGTTAGAGACAGAACTGCTGGGGGCGGGGGCGGGCCAGCATTATTCTTATTTAGAAAGAAGAAAAAAAATCCATGCAGATCTTAACAGCCATTCGGCTGCTATTATCACTCAATTACAGAACCTCCAATCACCAAAGAGGCACTGGTTCTCACTCGTGGGGCTGTATCCGATTGCTTAGGTGCTAAAGAAAGCGAAAGGACAAAGCGGAAGCCATCCCGAACATTTCTGCCTGACTGCACTTGAGCAGTGTCAGTGCTGCAAGTGGCCATGGTCACGCTGGACATTCCAATCTCTTTTCCTGTTGAAAATTTTCTTAAAAGTTGAGATAAAACATTCAAATCCCAAGGAATACTGTTGCTTTAGGGTGGATGAGCCTACCATTGAGCGCGTGCTTAAAGTGCCCTGTCAATCCAGGAGGTCCCGCCAGCACTTCAGGGAAGGATTTATTTGATCACAAAATGATTACTACATGGAAAACTCAATCCTAATGTGTGCTGTACCGAAGAAAGCGGGAGAACGGTCAATAAAACAATCACTCATCATCCCTTGAAGTTGGGTCATTGATTAAGAAGCCACATGGTGAGAGAGAAATGTGAAGGGAATATGGACCATTCTCAACTGGAAGGTATTCCTTCCGTGGTATTTTAAAGAGCAACTGCTACAAAGGACGGGGTTCCTGGTATGCATCCTACGTTTGTACCAGTTGGGTGTCCCTGATCTGAAGACCTCACATGCTATAAAACCCAAAGCTTTTTAAGTACTGATGTAACACCCTAAGAAGAAAACTCCATACCATAAAACTTATAGTTACAGAGAAAATCGCTGCAAATATGGTCTAAAATGACTTTCTGGCTTTGTATATATGAAACATAAACAGATTTGAAATTCAGACTCAGGTCCCATCCTCAGACTATCTCACTGCGGATAAACAAATACTTCAAAATCCAAAATTGGAAGCATTTCTCATCTTGAGCATTTTTTGATATAGGATGGTTAAGTTTGCAGTTAGCATTTGCTGCATTTGTCAGAGATTTCCTTCAGCCTGACTTTCCGAACATTTCAGCTTTCTTCCGGCATCAGGGGTGGGGTGGGGTACATTCAACTTCAGATTAGCTGGCTTTTGTCAGCATGGTGAACCTCAGCCTTCCTAGTGGACTGATGCTTTGCACTGATGGTGATGGTACTTCGGGGGACCTCTAACAGCTGATAATCAGCAAGAGAGCTTCACGTGGCCCTTGATTGTTGAGTTTACCTAAGGTCGGCTTTCTTTCTCAGGGCTGCTGGCCTTACTCCCTTCCTTTATCTGAGTCAAAGAACAAAGGATGTCTCCCCAGACAACCAGGTATGCCAGGGTGGTTGGTGAGAGGAGGAAAGGCCTTTAACCTCTCCTAGCATCTGAGCTATGATTTCCACAGAGGTGACATCAGGGCAGCTAGGAACAAAACCCGTTCAAGGTGGCAAAACAATGTTGTTTTTTCTCTCAGCTTCAGGTCGTCAATATAATGTCCTCTCTCCTAACACATTCTGCCTCATTCCAGGGCATACTAACCAGTCACCTCAGGAAGAAAATGTCAAGGACCACAAAGGCTCCGAAAGGGTAAATAGCATCTGCAAAGCCTGGGGCATTTTAGGGACTTGCATTAGTAAAATAATGAAGACTGCTGCTGGTGAATGTGCCCAGTAATCATCTCAGTAAAAAAGAGAGAAGGGCAATGAGGAGGAGAGTTTTAAGATCTGGGAAGTTTTGAAGTGTACCTTTCCACGTTGATCTTAACCAAAAAACGCACGTCACCACTGTATAATTAAGCTACACTCATTCTCTATGGGCTTTTATTTTTCACCTTTTTGAGGGAAATGTTTGCAAAGACCAAAGAGGGCAAAATAAAACATTACCAGTATTTTTAAGAACCGCAAGGCCACAAAGAAAGTACCTAAGCTCTTCTCATGACCCTGCAATCACAATTATGCTGGTGTGTGTTGGAGCCGCTTCACCAGACAGGAGTGCAGAACACACCATGTTCTCCACTCGGGACAGAATTAAAAGACGACGGCTCTTTCAAACCACTTCTCTGAACCGGAAAGAAAAACATCCACTTTGACCTAGGCTTCCTCAAGCTGGAGACATCACCTAGGCTACAAAGACAACCAGCAGAGTCTACCTGCTCTTAAGAGGCCATGGCTTCCCAGTCCTCTTCACCTTTATCCACTGGCTACCCGAGGTCTCCTTTATTAAGAGGAGGGTAGAGCACGGGAGAGGGCCTGGGAGGGCAGGAACCCAGGGAATTACTCACGTCGGTTTTCATACATGCTCCTGGACTGGGCCCAGATTTTAAAAGGATCTGGTTTTTTCTGCCCAGAGCTGTCGGTCTGATCCGGAACAGGGGCGTCTGCAGGTGGGTACTCGGGGAGCACCTGCGTGCCGTGACTCGGGGATGCCGTGTGCAGGCTCCTGTGGCTGGAGACACTGTGCTGGGAGCTGTTCTGGCTGTCTTTCCTCTCCAGTGGCTGCTGCAAGAAAGCAAGTGAGGGGGCCAGGAAAGGAAGATGATTGTGACTTTTCCACTGGGCACCTTTCCCCAGCCTGCCTTTGTTTAGTGCGTGTACGCCGGCACACGCGCGCGCGCGCACACACACACACACACACACACACACACTTAAAATGACACTCTGGCTTCTCCAGCAAGTGCTGAATGCAGATAAATCCGCAAGTGATTGGCAGGAAGACAGAGGGGCGGACTAGATAGAGACATAACCATACCCATGCTGCTTTCTGGGCTGTAGTGGGAAACAAATCTGATTTCCCTTGTAAGCTCTCAGGAAGACACCCTGGGCTTATTTATTGTACGATGCATCTATCCTAACACCCTCAATTCTTGACAAAAATATGTGACTCAAAATACCGTAAGTGTTTTGGATGTAAGCCGGCAATACCCACAAGCAATACAATCAGGGCTAAAAATGCTACATGGGGCTCCATATGCTGTATCTCTTAATAATCAAACTCGCTCCGCTCTACAGGTTTCCACCATTCCTATTCCAGCAGGAACTGCATCTGAGCCTTGGGAAGTCACACCTGGCAGCGCAGTGATCTGGTACTCCGGTGCAGAGAGCAGGAGCTTATATAGTTTTCAGTTAATCAATTCTGAGAGCAGTGCTTTTTACCTCTTGGATTACTGGGACTACTGTGAGCTCAAAAAAAATAAATAAATAAAAAATGAAGAGCCAACTTGAAGTATGTATATGTGTTGCCCTGCACGGTTCAGCCCTCCCAGACGGGTGACTTGTCCAAAGTTTAAGTACTTTCAAAGGGGAGCTTCATTGAGTTCAAAGGTAGAGTCAAGTTCCTGATCACTGAAACCAGCTCAGCACAGACTTACATTTTATGAAATGTTCTCTGAATTGACAGAGAGCACAGGCAAAACCCTGGTAATGGTTTCACCTCTGCAAATGCAATGTTGGAGTTCTGCCTCATCTGCAAAAGACACCACGTTACTTAGTTACTGTGCCTAGTTATCAGGAGCTAGGGGACACGAGGGGGAGGGGGCCTCTCCATCCTCTGTTATGTACACTGCAGAGATGATGCTTCTTAAAGAAGCTTATAGTATCCTGACTGTGTGTATTCTGGTCCCCTGGAGCTCTGTTACCAGAAGCTATCATCAATCCTCCTTGCTCTCCACTCAGGTGCCCTCCATCTTTCATTCCCTGATAGAAATGACCATGGTCCTTTCTCCTTTTAGTCTTTATTTTGCAATGAGTAGATGAAGAAAGTCCAAAAAGAACAGATTTTCTTTGTTCCTTTTGCGTGTGTATATTCATATGTAAGGACATGTGTGTGCAGGAGTGCACGCATAAACACACACACACACACACACACATGCATGTGTGGAACACTGAGGGCAACGTTCCACTTTTTGTTTGAGACAGGGTCTCTCACTGGCCTTGAGTTCGCCAGGCAGGCTAGGCTAGTTAGCCAGCGAGCCTCTGAAAGCCTTGTCTCACCTTTCTGGAATTAACAAGCATGTACCGCTATGCCTGGCACTGTATATGGGTTCTGAGAATATAACTTAAGTTTTTATTATATTTGCGTGGCAAGCATTTTATTGAGGAACGTCTCTCAACTCCTAGATAAGAGTTGAGATCTTGACTTGACTGCTAGAGACCTGACTACAGGTTTTGGGAAAGACTCATAGTTGAGGAAAATGCGAGGCCCGTGTTCTAAGGCTATTATATCTTCGAGAGGATTAGCTCACTCACATGCAAAGGGATGGTACACACAAAGACGCACAGGGCAAACACAACTCCACTTCACCCTTTCTCTCTTCAGATAATAAAGCACTGAGCTCTGTGCTAGATGGACTAGCATTTCCAAGACTGGCAATAGGCTCTCTGCCACCTTTGAAGGCCCTTCCCTACACTGACGTCAACTCTCATGGCCTCATATCATGCCCCAACTCTTCCTCGGGTGCCATGCTGAGGATGCTGAGTTCTCTTTTAAACGTGCATATCTCAAATGTGTATCTCGTAAGCTCTCATCAGAAAACATGCACACCATCAGTCATTGTTGGCGTGAACGTGCAGCACGGTATTTAGAAAAAAATGATATCATGAGCAGGTTTCTTCCTTTAAGTTTTACACTTTTCAGCGCTGCTTAACTTTTTCTATTTTAATAACAACAGGTGACATCTTACAAACAAGGGAAATCAAAGGCTATTTCCACCCTGAAGTGAACTGTGGTAAACAGAATTAATATGGACTTCAACTTGTATGCTGTATAGGAGCTATTCTAAATGTTAACACCAAATCATTCAATACAGAAACTGAGTTTGCCTGGAAGGTGTACATACTTCCTTCAAATGGTCACTATATTTTTATTCCTTAAAAGAGTGGCAGAGGTCTGACTGTAGAACGAGCCCAGCATCACTGAGTTCATGTCACAGCTGAAGTAAGTCTCTAATTCTGGAAGCTTCAGTTTCCACCTGAGGTCCCTTAATGCCCCACCTCCAGTATACCTGGAAGAAGTCCACGTGTAGCTGTTTAGGAGGGTTCTTTGCAATGTGTGTCCCACTGACTTCTGGAGTCCCTCTCTCTGAAAACCAAACTTTAACTTGTCTCTGCTGTACCCATTAGTTTTTATGCCCAGTGAGTGGTTCTCACAGAGCTAAGGGTGTACGCATGTGTTCCCCAGCTGGTGGTAGTTTTGGGAAGCTGTGGAGCCTTTAGGACATGTGGCCCAGCTACCAGAAGAGGGTCTCCTGGGATGGCCCTTGAAGATGATAACGCCCTTCTGGTTCTAGTCTGACCTTTCTGCTTCTTGTCAGTCACCATAAGTCAATACGCATAAGTCAATCAGCCACTTCATGTTCCTGCTGACAGAGATTAAGCCAAATCTGCAGTCACGCCTCCTCACCCTGATTGGCTGAAATCCCCTGAGCTCATGACTCAAAACAAACTTTTTTCCCTTAAGCTGCTTACATCAAGAGTTTTCTCACGCCAATGAGAGGAGTTATGCACAAACCATCATACATGCTGCTCAAAAGGGTTTCTGAGGCCCCAGGATGTTTATCTTGGTCTAACAAATCCCTGTCACAGAGGACCCAGCCTCAGGTTTAACTAAAGAGTTGCTTGGCCATAAAGGGAGTATTCAGATGAAGTCCACTGAAAACACTTTATCTGCTAAGATTTAGCCCTGTTCTATGTTCATTTTTAAAACAACCAGCTCTCTCAAATTTCAATATAATGAGAATCCTAGGGTTTTTTTTGGAGCTGCGCTCTGTGTGTATATGTATAAATGCTTCAAAACATATTTTTCATTTTCTGTGACATCCTTTTATTAGAAGCCCAAAACTGGTCAAAGGAAAAGAAGCATTCACAGAGCTCTCAAATGAAAGTCATTTGGGGTGTTGCATGTGTGTGCACATGTGATCAGGTATATGTATACGTCTGGCACACAGGGGCATATGTATGTATGTGGAAGCCAGAGGGTAACCTCGGGTATTGTCCCTTAGGTGCCATGCTCAGTGTTTTGAGACAGAGTCTTTCTTTAATCTGGAGGTCCCTGATTACGCTAGGCTGGCTGACCATCAAACATAACATACTTGCCCATCTGGACCCCCCCTAGTATTGGATTATATGCAGCTGCTACTTACACTTTTTAAAATATAGATGAGAAGGAACGACTGAGTTCCTGATGCTTGTGCAGCAGGTCTACTACCTGGCCCTTCAGAGTCAGTTTGTAGGGCTTTTCTTGATCCCCTACTAGAAGGCTTTATGCATGAAAGAAAATTCGCTTCTCAACTGAGACAGCACAGAATGAAATCTGCATTAAATATGAATGTCATTCATCTGTTTTTCTTTATAGTTTTGTTCACTTTCATGTGTGTGTGTATTTTAAGAAAGTTTTACTATGCAGTCCAGGCTAAATTCAAATTCGTGATTCTCTTACCCTGCTCTGAAGTGCTAGGGTTATAGGGTGTGTGCTACCTTCAACTCATTTTCCTAAGTGAGACACTAGTTCAAAGACAAGCAGCTAGAAGCCGGTATCTTTAGCCCTGCTAAGGGAAGCCTGTGCATGAAGCACATGGATGGGGAGAAATACTTAGCACATAAAAGCAGGATACCAGACAAAGCGTGCCTACAGCAAATCACCTGCAATGTATTTATTCAACTTGATCAACAAACACAAATGGATAATTTATACTGTGCCAAACACTAAGAAACACAACAGATAAATATAAAGATGTTACCTAACTGCTTGGAATTTAGATGTGTAGATGGATATTGAATTAATCAAATATTCAGAATATATTTAAAATAACACACCACAATGTTCTCTGGCTTAAGGATGGGTGCGTAGAATAGTATTTTGGCAATGCACCCAACATGTGCTAATTTCTACCATCAAAATGAGCTTGGACAGGTTGCAGTCTTCAGAATGTCTGGCTCGTGTGACACCGTGAGGGGACGGGGAGCTGGACATGAACATGGAAGCCAGATCACGCAAGTGTCTTATGTGGCACTGTAAGGACAGGCTTCCTTCTTAGCTCTGGAGGAAGTACTTAAAATAAGAATGAACCAGGAGTTAATGCACTTCTAGGAAGTCTGCTCAGGCTCCTGGGTAGGGAGCAGATGTAGAGAAATAACTGGAAGCAGAGAGGGCAGTCTGAGGTTCCTTCTTGCTCTGCACCTGGGGTGGCTTCCCCTGGGGCATGGGTGTGATGAGAGTGAGGCACTGCTGACAGGTTCAGGGGAGATGCGAGGAAGAAGAAGATACTTTAGAAACACAGGACTCACCCATACCCAGACAGAAATCACTAATCTTAACTACTGTCACTAGGTTGATATTCTTTAACTAAGAATTTCATTTCTGATTCTCAAATCTCTGCCAACTTGGAAAAAGAACTGGGCTTAATTCTAAAATCTCCTTAAGAGTCCTTGGCCATGAACTTGTATCACAAAACCTTTTAGAATGAAATTGTACCTATCTCCCTAAAATGAATGATTCTCATCCTACTTACTGTCAGGTCAGGAAAATTGGGAAGGCGCAATGGTTTTTATAAATGGAAATGGGGAAAAATTTATCTCATCAGTATTTCACAGAATGATTTAGAAATGGACGTTCCTATAAAGTGAACTGAAAATATTTGCTTGGAAGAACAAATGAATACAGACAGCACTTAGGAGCTTAGATGATGAAAAGAATTCATGGGGCTTAAAAATGACAAATTGATCCATTTTAAAGCCAAATTATTTACAGTTGATGTATCTGCCAAGACCCAAGGCCACTGCAGAGATTTGCATGGACAACAGGAGCAGGTCCAAACGCTGCTGAGGTATGAGGCCAAGGTCACTAAAAGTGTGAAAATTGGACACCAGGTCTGAGTCAAGGCATAGGCTGCTCTTTACTTCTGCCTCTTTCCTGTATCGGTTTCCAAGTCAAATTTCTTCCCAAAGACAGATGAAGGGAATTCATGGAGAAAAGGAGAACACTGGGAGGATGGAAAAAATAAAATCTGAGTCACAAAAAAAAAAAAGTAAGCAATTTAGCAAAACAGAATGTCCAGGTGCCGAGGTGGGACAATTTGACTGATAATCGGAAGCCAATCTATCTATTCCTTTTCTCATCTCCCATTTTCACTGCTTTTCCTCACTGCCTGAAGAAACTTTGATGAGATCCAAGTGGTGGCTTTGGAGCAGGGAAGCCTAGGAGTGCAGTGTGAGAGGCAGTGCCTATCACAGAGAGTGATTCAGGCAGGAGCCCCTCAATGCATACGTCATCCAAGAGGACTCGTGGCTCCCAATCCATACATGATCTAAGAGGTCTTATGTCTCCTCAAGCATATATAAGAGATCTTGTATCCCCTCATAAGTCTATATATCTAATTCCAGAAATTTCCTTCAGTATCTCTTGCAGGCTAAAGAGATTGGAAGTGAAACTTTCTATCGCTGTTTTGAAGGTACTACCTTTTCACTCTTGTAAAACTTTGGGTGTTCACAGCCTTCCAGACTCCAAATAAGTTTACAAGTTCAGCCACAGTTCTTTATTCTACCCTGGGCCTGGGCTTTGTAAGACTATTCAGCTCAGGTCATTTGAAATGAGAGCTGGATGGTCCTCCTTTATCAGCTTTCAATGTGTACGCTCACCAGACTTTAATCCCCAGGAGAAGAGGGTCTAGACAGGCCTGTCTGCTGATGTGGTATCTATTTCTCTCCCCAGTTCCTGGGAGTCGGGTATTCTCTACTTTAGCCTCTGGATACCTGCACTATTTTAGCGCCTAGAAGACAGGCAGTAAGCATTTGTACTTCTTGGCGCCTCAGTGCAAGTTCCATACTTGGGAGTTCTCACTACTTCGCTGAATGAAAAGATGGATAGATGGCTGAGTGAGTGGAGGATACATGGGTGAATGGAAGATTGGTGAGCAGGGAAAGAAATGGACAGATTAACAAAGGGAGGCTGGAGAAGGTGGAATGTGACCCAGCACGAACACAGGTGGGTCTGGCTTACAATTTGTTTGGGTGTGCAATTTAGAGTTTAAAGCCCCCACACAAGATCCCTGTGTGCGACTTAAACTGACAATTAAAATTAAGTTTCTAATCAGAATGATTAAGTTGGGTCACAACTTAAGTTTTCCAGAGACGCCTAAAATCCCACAGCAAATGCATCTTATTTTTTTACTGCCACGTGGTAGAAAAATCTGTGACAGTGTAGAAGTCCAGGTATTAAATTAATTAAACATCATTAAGACATCACTATTATACCACAAGAGTATACAAACCCCACAAACTTAGCATTTAAACTAAATCTAGTAAGTTAAATTTTTATTAAGAGTAAGCTATAGGGACAATCCAGGAGGTGGAACAACATTAAAATGCTAAAACCTTCTGCTCTAATAAAATCTCAAGTGCCTAATTATTAAAAACATTAAAAAAGAAAGAAAAGGTATGGCAACAGAGGGAGTCTGTCCATCATTGGAGGAAACCAAGTGTGTCAGAACCTCGGGGGTAGAGTGGGAAGCCAAGCAGCCAACAGTGAGGACCTGGTTTAGACACTATTCACTGAGCTCGGTGGAATCTACATGGATCACAACCCAGGTACAATCACTGCACTTTTGATTATGCAGCCTGCAGAACTGACACTATCTGTCACCACCTGAGTGGCTCGGCCAGCACCTGGCCATCCCTCATCCCCATGGATTCCCTCCAACCCCTCGGAAAGCATCCCCTAGTCACCTGTCCCATTGGCAGGACACCATCAAAGGGAAACAGCTTTCCATCCACCTGTCCAAGCCTCACTGATCACAGATGTTCGTAATGCTCCCCTGCCAACAGCAGTCCTTGGCGGAGGGTCCGCTAATCATGTGCAGGAGCTGCCAGTGTGCCAGCATGCCATGCAAGCTGCCATCTCTGTACTGGAGCAGAACCCAGGTGAGGACAAGCCCCAAGCTAGGAACCTGCTCTGGAGTCCAGCAGCACCCCCCCTCTTCGCCTGCGGTAATCAGAAGCCAGCAGACTGTGGGCAAAGCGGTTAAGAGAGCTTTTTTCCCTGGGAATGCAACTCAAGTAATTGGCTTGTTGCTCACTAATGACATGGCAGCCCCCAAAATAAACTGCCAGAGAATTCTCTTAACTGATTTAATGGACATGGGCTCTGTACATGCTTGATGCTAGGTGTCAGCTGGGTAATTCTGAAATACTTCAGGGAAGAAGATGATATACAAACATGACAGAACCTCTCCTGCACAGGTGCAAACAGCAGAGACCACCCTGCTCCCTGAAACCACGTTACTAGTGCAACGCAGCGGCTTCCTGTCAAGATTTCACAGCATGGGGGTGTGTAAAACAAGGCCAAGCATCAGCACAGCATGGCCATGGAAGGCTCGCACTAACCCAAGCTCAGGAGACACATCTTCCAGCTGCACTCGATTTGTCTGAAGGCTGAATGCGTCTCTGATGATGACCCAGGGATGGCGATGCACACATGCGCACATGCACACACTTTGGCATCTCTGTGCTTTCAATGTGAGCACCAAGCAGCACTTTTCTGCCTGGACATTAACACAAACTGACACGGGAAGCAGCCCTGAAGTCAACGTTCCAATCGCCACAGCGCTGTGCCATCAGAATCACATCAATTACTGCAGGTTTTTTTCTTCACAGAATGGGGGGAGTTGGACTTCAGAATGCATAAAGCTCCCCTCGCTCACTTCCTTAATAAACTTCTGCCTGGTGCTGCCATGCTTGGAGACGGGTGGAAAGAATTCAGCTGCAGCGCCTGAAGCTGCAAAGTTTTAAAGGTCCTCCTCCGGAAGGCACAAAGCCACACATTTCCCCGTTCAGAAATCTGCTAAGTTACAAGGAAGCCCCTTCTTTTTCCTAATATTAATGACTCAGGAAGCTTCTACCGCCTAGTTCAATTTCACAGGCACTCAAATCACAGATTTGGAGTTTTTAAGCAGCATTTTAATTTGTTGTTATCGCCCTAGGAGTGAAAAGCTCATACGACCAAACACAACACTGTAGCCTCTAGGCTATTAGCCAGCATGCCAAGTAGGTAATGCATCTTCAGGGAAACCAGATTAGAAAGGACAGTAAAACATTGATTTTTTTTTTTTAAAGAATCCTATACCTGCAGCATAATGCTGCGAAAGCTAGCAAAACAACAAAGGACATTTCCCCAGCAAGGAAATGTCTTAGTCTCAGTACTGGACAGTGAACATTGTTCCACCTGAGCATGGACATATACAAGCATAGCAATTCTCCGAATTCACAGGTTTTGTGAATAATTCCCCACTGAGTGTATATGGAAGCTCTGAGAGAGATGGTAGCCATGTGAACGGCTGCCGGCGAACACCAGTTGAGAAGCCAGCGAGCAAGCAGGTGGAGCCTTTTCTCTCTCTTCCTCCCCCAAAGGAAACAATAGCATTTGTATCAAGTTGAAACAGCTCAGAAACTCGCCCATTCAAAGGAGTTGTGAGCATTGGTGCAGGGAAGCCAAACTGCTTTGTTTTAATCCTCAAAGCTTTTGCATCCTGCTCACACATCTCTACATAGTTAAAAGACAAACCCCAATACCATTTATATCAAACATATCTCCAGAACTTAATTAAATGAGCCTGTGCTCCTGGCTCCTGCATGCACTCTAAAATACATATATTAAGGTGAATTCAGGCAGCGAACCTTCCTTCCGCTGGGGTCCCCTGCTCCCCCCGCCCCCCCAAGCACCAAGTAAATGACAAGTCCTTACCGACTTTGGACTCTTCTTGGGAACTGGTAGCCCTAGAAAAAAAAATGCAACAAGAAAGGGGGGGGGGAGACATCATTAGCATATAAATGTTACCTTTTCTTAAAGAACAATCCCCAGGTGTTTCATGGCCACCTAGTCATCTGCAGAGTTCTGTCAGAGTCCTCCCCAGCATCGGAGTTACCAGGCTGTTCATATCGAATCAAAGCTGAGGGAGGAGGAGAGCGAGAGGCAGGAGATCTATCTGCATTAGCTATGCTGACTTGTACTGCAGCAGCCTGGAGGCTGGGAAAAGAAATTCACAGACCTCAGCGGCCTGGGAAATTGAACACTTGGACAGAATCTCAAATGCTCTTCTGGATTAAGAGAGACTTAACTTACAATTAAGTTCAGGATATTCCCTTTCCTTACGATCCACTTGTCAACGGAAATGGACCAATCAGGACAGAGAAAAGGGTATATATTTAGTTTTAAAGGACAGCATGGTTAAATTTATATCCCCCCACCCTGTCTTTTTATTCCCCTATGTATTTCAGGCAGAGAAATGCCTTCTTTAGCTTGGATGAGCTCAGTCTCAACACAAAGACGGATGCTCTCTCGCCAGCAGAGAAGGGTAAAATAGGAGCCCAAGTTCAAGTTAGTCTAAGATACCCTCTGGATCATCAGCACACATCTTGGTATCTGTCAGTCATCTAAGCAGCCCCCTAACTTCGCTTCTGGAAAAGACTGGGGCTTGGAGTGGGCTCTGGAGAGGTAAGCATGCCATGTGGAAGGAACAAGGAAAATTTCACAAAGCCGAGAGAAAAAAGGCAGCGAGGGAGAAAGAGAACGGCAAAGGAGACAAAGGTGGTGGCTGAACCTGGTGGGCTGTCCCCAGACCCTGTCCTTAGTGGGAGGGAGGGCTAGAGCTGGAAGGAGCCAGTGATCTCATCACTTCTAGGAAAGTGAGCTGCAATCAGAGCAGGCTGATGGGGACCCTGTCACCAGACAAGAGTGGGGAAGGGAGGTGAGAAAGGAAAACAAGCACAAACTGGTGTTTGGAAAGTAATCACTTCCCCAGCTGCCACCTCTTTCTCTTTTCCTGTGTGAGCAGAGTGAGACCACAAGCCGTAGATCCCATCTGCACCAATGCCAAACATACATTTGGGGTGCGATGATTCTGCATGGACATTACAGCCCGGCTCTGAGAAGTGATTCTGATGCAGCCTGATGAACTTCAAGTCTTGGGAAGTCACTTGTCAGATCTGCCGCCGTGCTAAACCAGCGGAAATAACAGGAAGTGGGCAGAAAGGAGGACCCCACTCAGATGAGCAATGCTAATGTTGTTCACACTACCAGTGAGGCCTCAGAGAAGTCAGGGGGCACTTGCAAGGCTTGTCACATCACAAAAATGGGGTTTCCATGGTTTGACAGAGTAAGTCTCAGATCTCAAAATGTAACACTTCATTAAAAATAAATGCTCAATCCTAACACCCCTCTACCCACCTTGGGGAGCAGAAACATGCAGTACTAACAATATTTCTCAAGGTTTCTGGTGCCAAGGAAGATACCTCAGGGACACAGGTAAAGTAATTATGCAGCGCAGAAAGGGTGTGACTGTTTCAAGCTAGACAAAGGCGGTCACTTTGGAAGCTTTTGCAACTTAGTTTCTGCACTAATGAATGGAAGGAGCGAGGTTCACTTTTTAAGACTGTTAAAGTAATTAAATAGCACAAAATCTTTGAGAGCCTCTGTCCTGGATGTTCTTTTACCTTCCTTGGCTGACTTCATCTATGAAAAACTGTTAGGAGTAGCCAGTTTCAATTAGGGGAAAATCATTTTGCTGAATTAATTAACACATACAAAGATTTAGCAGAGGATTTACTTACAGATTTCAGACTGGGTTGAATAATTTTTATATGACTTTAAGAATTGGGTGCTTTTATTGGTCAATAGGATGCCCTTAATGAATCTTTATCAAATGATATTACTGAATTACTGTATACATTCTGAAACTATATATATGTATATAGTATGTATAAACTATATACATGGTTATGTACACATTCTCTCCTAATTCTTACACACTTACTTGGAATAAGCCGAAGTTTCATTACAGTTAGTTTTTATAAAACTTGATTGATCAGTATCCACTGACTTCTTACAGAGTCTCTAACTAGCTTTGTAAGACTCCGGTCTAGGCAGTCACCAACTCTCCTTTAAAATTGCGATTTGTAAGGCAATGGTATGCCATTCTCTGCCACAGAGGGACCATCACACATTCCCTACGGTGCATCCACAAAGAGGCTCACTGCAGCATTCTGATACAGGAAAACTGAGAACCACCAGAACTTCTAAATAACTTGTGGGGTAATCAACCCACAAAGCACTCCACAAGCTTTGAGGGAATGAGCCCTCTCTACAGGCAGCAATGCAGAGACTGCCTCCAAATGAGTGGGGACAGCACGAGAACAGTAGTTACAAAGGAAGGGAGGCAGTAAACCCAGACACACAGTTTTGTCATCTGTGAAGGTCCCCAAACCGGTATCATGGACATCATTCATTATTACTGATCTCACTAAGGTAATAAGATAGAAAATTTAAAATAAAAATTAGCTAATAGCCCTTCTACTATTAGCAATATCAACCAGTATGAAAGAAATGGGGTTAACCAATTAATGCATGTTTAGGTGTTTCTTCCAGGAAGTTGCCCATATGATGTTCCAGAAGGTCCCAGCTAACCTGACCACCCACAACACACACACACACACACACACACACACACACACACACACTCACACACGGTTTCTTTGCGAAGCCGTGGCTGTCCTGGAACTTACTCTGCAGACCACACTGACCTCGAGCACTCTGAGATCTGCCTGTCTCTGTCTCTGAAGTGCTGGAATTAAAGGTGTGAGCCACTGTACCCAGTCCCATAAATTGGATTTTGAAACAAATAAGAGCACCTCTTTGTAAGAGGCCTTTGCTTTTCTCTGTTAGTCAGTTGCTGAAACCTTCATTTTCAAAGCCACACCCTTTGACAGAAGCCCAAAGTAGGTTATGGCCACAAATTAATATTTAAAGAGTCAAAATCAAGACACTTCACTTGACTGCTTTAAAATGGGGGGCTGGGGATCAAAGGTTTGTTTTAGGCCCATATGGCCATTAAATCTTAAAATCTAATAAATATGAATGCTGGAACAAACTTCCTTGTTACAATTTATAATTTATTTTAGCAAAAACTATTTAGAAGGATTGAAAGTAGCTGGGAAAAGCCCTAGAACAGTCACTTTGGGGACACATTCTCTAAGCCCTAGACACCATGGCACAGAGCTCTTCCCCAGAAAGAGGCAACTGCACACCACCAGTGTTGGGTAGAATCTAGGAGGCAATGTTAGTCTTTTCTTTCTTCACGGCATAGCCCTGGATTGCTTAAGTAAATTTCTTTTTTTGTGCACCCCGTGGCAGCCGGAAGGAGGGTTGTGCTCTATAAACTACGCCACATACTGCTTGCGAGGCATATGGGCACAAGCAGCACCTGTCTTAATGGGCTCATATGGTCCACTCAAGGTAAGAAGGCTTCCCCAAAGAGGGAGAAGAAAGCATTTATGGATGGCGCCATCTGCTCTTAGCACCCAAGCAACAGCAAATGCTACTTCTAAGAGACTCCAGAAAACTTTTACAGGGAGGCATGTGCTGAAGGCGTGAGCCTGCCTGTGATCTATGCAGTGAGAAAAGCCTGGGTCCTGCATCTCTAAGCTTCCCAGCAGAGAAAACAAAAGGCAAATGATCTGCTAGCGAGTGGGACGCCACCATTAACACAACAGGGAGTGCTCTCTCTCCCCCATTAAACACCAAGGCCCGCGACTTTGTTCCCAGACTCTCTCACATTACTAAATGGAAGAGTGAGATTTTTGATGAAATCTTATAATCGTTGGGCACAAGTAGCTTACAGGGAGAAGTAACACGACAAGCCTTTGGGAAGCGAGGAAGTCATACACAGAAACACCATTTTCTTTGGCTCATGGGATTCCAGGTGCCTTTACTGCCTATGTCATTATCTCCTGCAACAAGGACAGCTTTATTCATGAACATACATATACACACGAATACTACAATAAATACAAATCTGCACGTTTGCGAACAACTGCGAGGGTTATCATTAACTTCTGCACCTTGCAAGTCACTTCTTTCCCTGAAAATGAACATGGACACATCACTCTCCCCTCCTTATACTAAGAGGATTGAACCCAGGGTCTCACACATGCCAGGTCAATGCTGTACCAGCTGAGCAATAGCATCAGTCCTTGCTTTTGTTCTCTTTTGAATTTTGAGACAAGGTCTTAATATGTATCTCAGGCTGGCTTTGAACTCATGACCCTTCTTGTTTCAACTTCTGAACACCAGAAATACATGGTAGGCTGCCATGCTAAGCTGATACAATACTTTGTCTAGATAAACATTTGTTCTTGCCCTCATGACAGAGTAAAATAGTGAGGAAATAGGAGTGCTCGGGTGAGCTGTCAGGAAAGCTAAACAGAAACTTCATGTTAGCCCAGCCAGGAGAGGCTGGAGTGCTGGGACAGAGGGCTTCTGTGGCCCCAGCATCCTCCAGGACGAAAGGAAATAAGGAGTCAAGCAACCCTACCTGACTGACAAAATGAAGAAGAAAATCTGGGGGTTGAAAGGGCGAATCCTGAAGTCACAGTGACACACAAAGAGGATCTAACACATAATAAAATGTACAACGTCACTGGCTGGCTCTTCCTTCACTATGGCTTCCATTCTCCTTTCACTGGGTCTCCAGACACGGCCACCCCACTATAAACACTTTGCTTTTCTTTAAGCATTCCAACAAATTCCAGGTCACTGTTATGCATGCTACTGAACACATCTCCTTTTTCTTGAAACTGGCTAAAAGGAAGTATCTAGAAAGTGACTGTTAAGGGAGTAACTGCAATTCAAGAACACATCTAATATTTAATAATAATAATGAATTAATAATAAAAATAATAATAAATAATAGTTTGAAGCAAGACGCTGCTCTGAATGTTGT